GGTATATCTTTCGCATTATATTCAGATTAAATTAAATCACCTTATGTTCTAGAAGTTTGAATTTTAAACTATAAATCATGTGTCTTTTTTTAATATACATGGCACAAAAATAAAATATTACTAAATACGATTGTAGCTATGTAACTTAATTCATTGGAAAGTGTAAAATAAGATAATTGTTTAAACAATTAAAGATTTTACGCAAATTAAACTCAAAGCGAAAAATGATTATCTCTATGCTTTTTTTTTTCGTTTTTAGTTGACCTTATAGTTTTTGTGATACGCGTATATACTGGTTTTTATTAATTCGATTACCGTTACGTATACAAGTAAGACAAGTTTTTAATTATTGTATATGAATAAAATAACAGCCAGCAACGATTTTTTTCAATTTAAATGTCAGTATTTAGATTCAATTACATCATCTTAAGAGATTTAGTCGTTAAGTTATAAACTTATTTAATTGGAAACGTCAAATTATAGGTTAAGTATTTGTTTAAATAAATAATAATTTAAATTGATACACTTAATAATAACGATAAAATTTAAAGGTACATCACTAGAACTATCGACAACTCGGTAAAGTAACGTCACTATTTCTCAGGGGTGTGTCCGTACCTCGGGCCCTCAGCATTGTTTTGTCTGTCTGTCTGTCGGATGCCGACATGCGTATGTGAATACATGTTCTTGTATACACATAATTTTTACTGAACTCATAGCATGGGAAACTAAGAAAAGACAACTCAAAGAAATAAAAGTGACACTTTAAAACAATATTAAAAAATAATACTGGCTGGTAATAAAATATTAAAAAAACAACAAAGACACGAAATTCGAAATTTAAATCTTGCCGACCAAGCGTGAGTAGCGATTTCCCGCGATATGCAAAATTGTTTGTTAACCCGTGCTCGTTTATCAAATACTGGCAAACACAATAATGCTGCCTTTATGACTCTTATTACCGTACTCGAAGCGGCGTGGTAACTGATTTCATATGTAAAACCTCTTTGCTGAATTCGATCCGTAACACACACCATACAAACTGCGCTAGTGTGAAACTGTTTTATAATCTGTAACACATATGTCAAATGTTTTTCGTAAACCAAAGCGTGACGTCTTTTGTCTTGTTAAGGTCATTCTCTGAATTAAAATTGTTGAAAAAAAAAGAAATAAGTTATTCTGAACACATTTATGGCAACTTAGTCCCTCTGCATTAATATATGTTAGTTTTAGTAATACATATAATTAATTAAAGTTATTTTAACGATATGTAGGAACGGATGGCTATTACAAAGTAAAATAGGATATTAATTCATACAGCAATAACAATCTATTTTTTGACAAGTGATAGTCTGTCAGTTTGATTAGCAATTCCATTGCACTCTGTTTGACTTGTTTATTTTTCATTGAAAGTATTTTTTGTCGATGTCAGAATAGCCGTTGGGCTATCATGAAAGATGCAACACGCTTAATATGTCTAGAAGAGAAAATTTTTTTAGTAACACTGAGTTAAAAAAAAATCTATAATTTATTTTTGTCAAGCTGTCAGAAAAAAGATTATATTGCAAAATTAAAAAATTTAAAAAAGTAGCATGGCACCATAGACGAATATCGTGACTCAACGTTCTAAATTTAAAAACTGAAATATGGTATCGACAAATTCCGTTCGGATACTCGGACATCGCCAAAATCGGCGGGTGTCGGTCTGTTGGTCTTGCGGCGATCAGATACGGCGATACCGAGGCAGTAATTACAAGTTACCACTGACTATTATCAAGTAGCGACTCGCTTTCATATATTTCACAGAATGGATGGCGCAGCCTTCACAAGCTATATCGTATGGCTCGTATATTTATTTTATAGATTTATTACGTCGTTTTGTGTTCGTTGATTTATTATGCGGGGTGTGAGTGCTGGCCGAAAATGCTTGCTGCGATATTATAACAGTTTGAATTTAGAACATGATATTAAATTACTGCATTCATTCTTAAAATGTTTACTTAAGCAGTACTTTATAGCAGAATAGTACAAATAAACACTTACGAGGTCTCTAGTGATGAATTCACGACTCGATGTATCCGAACGAAGTATTCCATAAGGTAGAGATATAAATAATACATTTGCAATATTTTGTAACTTAATTTTAAAAAAAGCGCAATTAAATTCCTTCTTTTAAATGTTAAGATAAAACAGTAGTCAATTTAAAAGTATTCGAACAGCCGTTTTCATTATTGATATTCAGAAATGAATTAAAAATAAAATTAATCAAATAGTTAACACGGCAAAGATGTAATATAATGATCAAATCTTCCAAAGTCGGGTGTCTTCATGTTTAAGGAAATCTATTTTTACGTAACGTAGAATCGCGAAGTCGGCAAATAAATTCCACACGCCAACAATATTTCATTTTACTTTGTACATTCACGCGTTAAGCGACGCTATAAATTTTAACAATTCTGTTTAACATTTTTAGCGCATTTAGCGTATTCTTTAGCGTTCTCATAATATAGACATTTTTACGTCAAACAATGAACCATCTTAAATATCTTTTTACACTTAACGTAAGCATGAATTAATATTATGTTATTATTACAGTAATTAATTGAATAATTGCCTTGATTACGCTAATATTTTAACACATGTTTTAGATATATCCTTTTTAAAAATCTTGTTTTTTAAATTAGTAAATTATATAGTAATTACAGATATTAATAAAAGATACCGTTCCTTATTCGTTTTTATGTGATCATAATTATTTATTCTTATATACTTATTTGATACTATGATCCTCTTCTCTATATAATTGTAATAAAAAATTGTCTTTGCAGTCGAAATATTTTTTCACAACTCGCAGATTTTCATTGTATACTAGCTGTTGCTCGCGACTACGCCTGCGTGAAATTAAAAAATTACCAAAAAAATATAGCCTATGTTAACTGATAACGTAGCTTTCTAATGGTGAAAGAATTTTTGAAATCGGCCCCTTAGTTTTTAAGTTATTTTTATACATGCAAAAATACAAATCTTTCCTTTTTATAATACTAGCTTTCGCCCTCGATTCCGTCCGCATGAAATTAAAAAAAACAAAAGCGAGTAGCCTATGTGTTCTTCCAGACTATCCTCTACATCTATGATACTTTTTATCGCGATCCGTTCAGCCGTTTAGTTTACAAACTCTAACAAACATCCATCCATTTTAACTTTTGCATTTATAATATTTTTCACACATTAACCATTACTATTGACTTTGTTCTAGAAAAATGTGGTCTCTCCGACGACCCCGGTCTACGGGTGAACGGGAAAGGCAAGAAGATGCGGAAACCTCGCACCATCTACTCCAGTCTGCAGCTTCAGCAGCTCAACAGAAGGTTCCAGAGGACGCAGTACCTCGCACTGCCAGAGAGAGCAGAGCTCGCGGCGAGTTTAGGGTTAACTCAAACGCAGGTAAGTTACCATCGAAATCAATTAGAAACGGTCACACTAACGTATACTGAACTGGATAAGAGTGTAACCGTTTTTAATTAGTTAATAATTTCTTTATTACGGCGACATCTATTGTCATTTTAATAAATCAGAATTCAAATTTTCAGTCATCTGTTTTAAATCGAAGCTGCTTAAAATATATTTAGTAACAAAGTTCAACAAAAAAACATGCCGCTTATGGCAGGTGGGTGATTTTATTGTTTTATGTAATCCCAGTTGTTAGGTGGTCACTAAAGTAGGTCCTCAGAATCTCACTAATGGTTGGTTTCTCAGCTACTTTTCACCAATGGTTAGTGTTTGGTTCGATAATTTTATGAAATGTATTTCCGAACTACATAATTTGAGTTTTATTTAAAAAAATTAGTTCAACCTAACACTAATGAATTTGGTAATAAAACAAATGAACACTTCAACAATTTAGTATAAGACTCTTAACTATTCGACAGATAGATTGTCTAGCTACAATAGGCAACAATAATATTAGGTATTTTTTCGACATACGCCAGTATAAAGGCAGTACCGACACTTATCCTGCATAGTAATTATGTCACTCGCCCAGTAATTAGTCGACGAGTGTGTACGTTCACTTGATTTTTTCTTCGCCACCTATTTAAAACTATGTGCAAATGAAATGAGACTCTAATTGAATAGTGTTAGAATAAAAAGTTGTGCGAATCATTTCATATCGACAGTGGTGGAAGGTATTATTAAAAGACATTTTCTTTAATTTTCTGTCAAACACTCGTCGGTTTCTGCGTTGTAATTATTTTTAGTTGTGTTTTGTTTTTATATTGCGTAGGTATATAAGACTTCGTATCGTTGTTTTTTTTAAATGTATAATATAGATGATGTATAAGGAAAAAAATACATTTTAAATAAATATAAAACTATATTCATATGTAAAAACTTAAATGTTTTATTTACACATGTGAATAAAATAAAAACCACAAATAATTACCAACCACATACTGTGTGATATTAAAGCAACAAATTATTATACGTGTAAAGGTGTTTAATTATGTTATAATATTTTAGATTAAGAGAAAATAACTAGAATCTTATCGTACGTTAATTGTTATTTGAGGTTATTTATTACAGTGAAATTATTTCACAATTTATTGTGCATTTCATCTAAAGTAATTGCATTAAAACTAAAAAAAAAAACATACAGACAAATTGAGTACCTCCTTCTTTTGGGAAGTCGGTCAAAAATACATCATTTCCCCTACCTTATCCTACTCCCGTACAGTCGGCGCGCTCGGTTTTTGGTCTTCCAAATAACTCTATCATCCGTCATCTTAGTCAGTCTTCTGGATCATATCACCTTTCCAATCCATCAGTAAAACTGTAAAAATACCTAAAACAATACCTTAGCGCCATCCACACAACGGTAAAAAAAATACTATAATACGGCGGCCATTTTCTCTTCCCGTCAGTATTTCCCGCCAAGCGAGCACAGATAACAACAAACTATCGGCCGATTGGATTCGTTCGTAACAGATTGATTCGTCATGTGTCGCCGTGTAGAATGAATAATCGTTATCACATACGTTCCGACGGACTATCCGTGAGACAGTGCGACCACAGACTTCATAATGTACAGACATGTCTTGCGTGAAATCACAGAGGTTTTTTTATGTTTTATGACAATTTATATTTTTAGATTCAAGAAGTTTTTAAGTCTATAGTAGATAATGTATGTATAATAAATATCTATATGTTATATTAAATAATTTTTTTCACTATTTTCAAATACCTATGTCTTTAAATTACATTTTTTAATAAACAATCTTAATCAAGTGTTTAAAAATTTTGTTTACAATTAATTTTTTCATGTTTTTAAAAAAAGTCTTTTAAAATCAGCAATATTTGTCTCTTATCTCTTGTTATCTCAAGTAATTCAAAAATGCTTCTTTTGTTTTTTATACTAGCACAAAGGAACTTGGCCGTTATTTAAAACACATCGGCTGAGGACAGTTTTTGCTTTTAATGTTAGACAGCTGGGAATAAAAGTCGTTTAATAGTTAGTAAAAAAAAGTAATATCCCAAAGATGCATATCATAATATCGTATACTGCAAGTGTCATAGGTACTTAGTATTATAAACATAAAATAAAATAAAAACGTCTTCAAAGAATGTAGTTAAAAATGTTTATAACAAAATTGTTGTTAATTTATTCATATTAACGGGTTAAAACATTATTAAGACTATTAAATGTAAAACATTGTTTTCAAACCGGTATTATTATGGGAACATAATTTTTAATTATTGTAAATTTATAACGACATTTATTATTTTATTAAACTTAGATAAATCTAATAAAAAGTGCATATTTAAGTCTATTTCAAACAAATCATTCACTAGAATAATAATATAAATAAAATAATAGAATATTATATTAACGCCATGTCTATCAATTGTGAAGACTGCGCCCAGTAACGGTATAAAAAGTAATCCTGAGTTAATTTTATTATAATTTAATATTTCTCAGTTATTGTCTGTATGCCGCACTTTGATGAGCCCGCGTCGATGCTCTAGTGTTGTGCAGAGTAACTCTCGATATCGATCGATGTTCGATATCGAACAATCAAAAGTAGCTAGTATACTCGCGAGTAACTCGAGCGCTTATTTTTCTATATGTATCAAGACTCTTTGTTTTGATTGATACCTTTAATTCTTAATGTTACATTAACTTTAAGACTTAATTTTGTCTTAAGAAAATCGATATAAAAATCTATCGATAAGATGTCTCTTTACTACTGACTCGTACATTTCTATCGCTTGATTCGATTTCGTATTAAAGTATGGAAAAAAACGTAATAGAACCTCGACTGACCGTCTCTTTCTCGCACGCTGACGATATAATCGGCAGATGGGAGCTTTATTAATCAAGTGCACTAATTAAAGAACAATCAACCCTATTCCAATCACAATAAGAGTTAGAAAATAGTAATTCTTTGTAACAATAAATCTTGTGATTTGTCTATAGGTGGAATTTACGATGTATTGTTTATTCTGCAATTCTCAGTAAGTACAGGTTTTGTTGTATTTCTTTCAATAGTGAAATCATTAACGGATTAAGCATATAAGGTCAAATTCGTTTAAGAAAAAGTAGCACATTTGATTGGTCTTGTTTAATATGATTATGTATGCTTGCTATTCAGTTACACATGTTCTGACATTATTTAGCAAAACATAATTACGTCTGTGACGCAACATGACTTTGATGGGAATATATTTCTGAGAATTGAGATTTTAAGGTTATCTTGTATCCAAATGTCGTTTTATGAATACACGAATGCGCATTTTTTACTATAGATGTTGCCAGTTTTATTGCAAAATTTATCTGCTCTCAAAGGATTTTTTTATTATAAGCAAAATAAAAAATATTGCACTCATTTAAGTATATATTTTATACAAAATAACTTTTTATATATAAAATAAGTTTTTTAGATTAAAGGAAATTGTACAGTAATTACAAATTTTATAATCCAATTTGGATGTAATTGGAAAGGTTATGTAATAATGAACAATACTACTACCGATACTAAATTAATACGGTTCACATAATATAACTGTTTCTTAGATAAAAAATGAAAGGCGCGAATGAAAAGGGCGACCGCACACTACAATCGAACGGTGGCGCGATACAAAAAATCCCATTTGTGATCATCGGTACCGTCATGTCAGAACGAAATGATGATGGATGGTCGTCACAGCGACTACCGTGGGTTAATTCGAATTACAACACGAATGAGGCGCTGTGACGAATGTCCAAGTCTACCAACCTCAATGTGCCGACGTCTAACTTTTTAAACTTCCCGCCCTTCCATGAATGTGTTCGATAATTAAATTTAAATAAGAATTAAATGTACCATAGACTACAAAACAGTTCATTCTATTTTTAAAATTTTACGTCCAATTTAATTTGATGAAATATTAAAAGTAAAAATATCGATGTTAAATAGACATCCTTGTTCGTTTTTGAACGCCAATAATGGAAGTGCTTTACGGAACGTATTTCTTTTCCTAGCTCAATGTGGCCTCTTTTATCACAGAATAGCCTTTTAACAAATGTTATCAGCGTATAAAAGTAACAATTCATCTAATAGTAAATGTCACTTAAATAAATAATCTACGAAAACTTTTCAAGCACTTATATGACAGTCTCTTCATAGGGATACGTAGTGTTCTTATGTTTGTGTACATTTTATTTTTATGTCCTGTGGTGTAGATGTATATATCTATAGTTTGTCTATGTAAATCCGTTCCCAGATAGAAGCATAGAGCGGACCACATAGCCGGTAACCGAACCAATGACGTCGTAAGTAGTAAAATGCAATGTCATCAGATCAAATGTTAGTTGAGATGACTTTCGAATTTCGAGATCCAGTCCCCGATTGGCTGTCAAACTTCAACCGTCAACCAATGGCCGCTCGTCAAATCTCATGACTCTGCGGTTTCAGTACAATTGCTATATAAAAAAAATAAAAGCGAGATATGAATAAAAAAAATACATATCGGCTTCCGTTAAAGTGGCGGCTCCTGTCTTTTTGTCAGGCTTTGATTGAGGTCTCGCCGCGTCTTTGTGACTCACTGACGTCTTAAAAAGATACTGTCTGAACTTTTATCGAAAATGAATAGCCTGTCATCTGGATTTTCACCTGGGATGTACTTTGACGAAGTGTTTGAAAAGCATTTTGTGCTAGATGTTGCTCGAGATTTCGTCCGCGTCAAATGAAAAATAGTATACACGGCCGATGATACTCACTGGTACGTCACTGTTTGCCGTGAATCTGTAAATGCCTCTTCAAGGCAAACAGTGACAACTCAGTCACAAAAAAAATCACTGATAACATAGCTTTTTAATGGTAAAAGAATTTGTGAAATCGGCTCAGTAGTTTTTGAGTTATTACAATAGATACATATGTGTCTTTTTAGCATAGATTCCTACATTTTTT